TGAAGTTAAAAAACAATGTAGGAACTTCACTCATTACAACATCACTTATTAAAAGATTTAATTGCGAGTATGTATGTATAATTTTGACCCTGTGTGGATTCAAGAAAGTACTAAATAAATTCAAATTTGTTGAAGTCATTAAAGATGTATGCTGTACCATCTTTACACACTGGAAAAAAAACAGTGCCTCTGTGATTAATACAATTTGATTCTGGTTCTGATTATCTGAATTGTCATGACAACCATGAGTGATTATAACCTTCTGATCACGCTTACAGGTGTCAGCCCAACTATAATTACACAGTGTGCTAAATGAAAGCACCCCACAGCCATTTGATTGATTTTTTTTTTAAATTTTCTGAGGGAACATGCACAAAAAGAAACATTTATCACATTTGGGGAAAAAATGTCTCGTCCCAGCTTAAGCTGTTAGCTGATTTTCATCTGCATTGTCTTGGTAGCTACATATAATATCAGTTGACCCATAAAATTCAGATACATGTCAGAGAGAAAAAAAATACAAGTAACATAATATAAAATAATCAAATTTGCATGCAAAGATAAACTAAGACAAATCTATCCATACCCATTGTAAAACTTACATCATGCATATCCCATTCAATAACCAGACTATAGCATATGCAACTAATAACTGATTTATTGGTCGGTTACTTGTTTTATTTTTCTCTTGCAGTTTGTTGGATGATATAAAAAACTCTGAAGAACAACAGCCAGGCCAACAGGAGCAGCAGGAATTCTTGAGCTCCCTGGAGACCATCGCTCTCTCTATCTTTCTCTCGCTCATCATTATCATGACAGTTTTTGGCAACCTGTTGGTCATGGTGGCGCTCTGCAAGGACCGACACTTGCGGTGAGCACTGTTGTCTTTCTCAGCAGCAGCTGTGTTTTTTGTGACTTCAGCAGAGAAGAAGGTTTAAATCTTCTGTCTGCAAATGCTCCCTAAAATCTTTTTTGAGAACGTCCAGAAAAGCCAAAATAAAAATCTAGTAATCTTAAAAATAAATACAATAAACCTGACATAATGTAGCAAAGTTTTTTTGAGTGAGATAATGACTTTCAGAATTTCTTTTTCCGCCTTTTAAAATTAAACCAGCATTTGAAGATCTGTTTTTTCTCAAACTACATGGTTCTCATTTTGGCAGTAATATTTAAACAAACCCATCAAATGTCAGAGCACTCAAATTTCATTCAGCCTGTCATGACAAACCCGTCAGGTAGACAGAAAGATGGGCATTAATTTGTTTTGACATTTGGTAACTTCCCCAAAAATACATTTTTTGGATCTGTGCCTCAAAAGTTTTGAGACCTTATTAAAGACCTTTATTTAAGATAGACTTTACTGCAGGAATGGAAGTTAATACTATTTATTTATAAAACTATACTCAAAAACATGCCTGTCTTTCATATTTTTACAGAGTTGCGCCGACTAAGCCGCTTCCCTTTTTAAAGACAGAACATTTAGAGTAAATCAAACTTTTTCTGGATCTTTTTTTTCTCCAACTTCTATATGGTTGTCTTCTTCTCCCAGAAAGAAAAAGACAAACTACTTTATTGTCTCGCTGGCGTTTGCTGACTTGCTGGTTGCTCTGGTTGTGATGCCCTTTGCTGCCATCGAACTGACCACTGGCCAGTGGCGCTATGGAGAGATTTTCTGCCTGGTGCGAACATCTCTGGACGTCCTGTTGACCACAGCATCCATCCTGCACCTCTGCTGCATTGCACTGGATAGGTTTGTGTTTGTGTAAAAAAGGCATATATTGATGGCACAATGTGTTTCCCCACTGAAAACATTTTTTTAAAATAGGGTTTGATTTAATGTTGAAGACAGTCAGTTACTTACGTTGCACACCTAACAAATGATCCGTCTGTATTTTTCTACCACTTATTTGGGTCGTAGGGGCTGCTCTCTAAGCAGGTACCCCAGACTATACTCTCTTCATCCAGAGCCTCCCGCTCTTTGAGAAGAATACAAAACATTATCAAACTGGCAGAGACCTAATCTTTCGTGTGTGTCCAGGTCGGCCCTCGGGTAGTCCTCTTGGTAGGACATGCCCATGCAGTGCTGTTTGTAGATTTCAAACAGAGAATAATCATTTCTACTATTTTCACAATCCTCTTCAGCTTATGGCTATCCTCAGACCTGCTGTTTGCAAACCAAGAAGTGATCCAGTATGTAATAATGTTTTTGATGGCCCATCTGTATGAGACTGTCAGTGCTGAAGTGAGGAGGTCCGCTGTCTTCCTTCTGCAGAGGAGGGAGAGAAGCTGCTGTGCCTTCTTGATGACAGCTGTGGTGTTGTCGCTGGAGGTCAGCCCTCCAAAACTCAATGCCCTTTACCCTCTTTACCGCAAATTCGCTGACTGTCGGTGGTGGGAGATAACTGAAGGTAGCCCTCCTAAAATCTATGAGATCTCAGCAAAGGCTTCTGATGTCCCTTAGAGAGTCACAAACAAAAATACGACTTTGACAGGCAAACCTAGCTGTTGCCTTATATTGCCTTTACTGGTGTAAGCAGATCCTGCTGCAAGCATTGGTCATGCCGTCATGTTGAACCTAGTATGTCTGTCAGAAAAAGTGAACAGAATCAGCTATGAAGAGCAGCCAAACAGTTTAATATCACAAAAAGTCAGTAAGGTTTCCTACAAAAGTAGGAAAAAGTCTGATTTATTTCACAGCAATGGCTGCTCTACCGTCATACAGGGATCAAATAAGCCAGAATAGAGTATGGGCCCAATACCCCATACCTCTGAAGCACAACCCCCCATTCATTTTTAAATCTGTATGTTAGTGTAAAGTATGTGTGTGCTAGTGTCTGTGTCTTATTTCAGGTATTATGCCATCTGCTGCCAGCCATTGGTGTATAGACACAAGATGACCCCGATGAGGGTGGCAGTCATGCTCAGTGGCTGTTGGCTCATTCCCACATTTATCTCCTTTCTACCCATCATGCAAAGCTGGAACGCCATCGGGATCGAGGATATTGTAAGTCCTCATTAGCTCAGATCAGAAACCATCACTAATGAGATCAAAACAAGTGGCTACATAGTTCTAATGCTTACATTTCTTTACTACGACCCCTGAATCAAACCACACAGACAGTATGTTTAAACAAAGTATCACAAAGAAAAGTTCATACCGCTCTCAAATGCCTAAAGAGAGGTATGTTCTTTCTTTGAGGGCAAAAGCGGCATTAACCTCTCCAGTCTAATATTCTTTGTTTCTAATAACATTTTCAATCCCTGAAACAATGGCACAGTAAAAGAATGATCACAAAACAATTCCAGTCCCTGTGGAAGCTTTCTCGCTGCGAGCAAAGACAGCACTTCAACAAGCATTTTCTTCTGGTTTAGGTATGTTCTGGCATGAGCTTGTTTCAGAGCTGCCTTGAAATGAGCAGCAAGACTCCCAGAGGCAGGCAGGGACAGATGAATTTATTCATCCAGACTTAATGAAAAGCTCTTTTCTCTTATCTTTCTGTCTGGCAGCTTACAAAGCCAGTGTTACTTTTTTAATGGCTGTCTCGATGGCTAGAAGTCATACACGGTATACAAAATTGCATAGGATTATTTTAAATGCTGTCTGTGTGTGTGCCGATGTGTTTTTCATTACGCTTCTGTTCTGTTTCAGAGGGATTGTTTGAAACTGAAATTTCTTCTCACTAAGCACAAGCTAAACCAAACAGTATTTGTCTGGTTGGTTTTAAAGGTGTCTGCTCAGGGATAGTGATCTGAAACTGATCTCTGTCTTGAAATGCTCAATTTGGGAGATACCGTCTGCAGCAAAGTTTTCTGTCAGTAGAATAAAATCTAATTAAATTGAGCTGGCCAAGTTGATTTCCGATAGAAATTTACCTTAGGGACTGGTTATCACCGTGGTCTATGCCATAAGCTACACGGAGCTTATACCTCAAGCACTTCTATGGAATAATAAACAACTCCCGAGCAGAGACAAACCAGATAACTGGGCAATGTAGCAGAAAGCTGGAAGTACTTATATTATTAATTTATTTGACATTAACTAGTAGAAATCTGTAAATTATTACAGTTCTAGAGGTTTGTCCAAATAAGTAGTGCTCTGTTTAAACGGTTGGGCCGTCCTTTCAACTATTCCACAGGTAGTCCACTCAAGCAGCTACTAAAAAAATTACAATCAGGCAAAGGAAACACTTCCAAAATTTAGAATTAATTCCAGGATTCACATATCTCAGGTATGCGACCCTTTGCTCGAAGCTAAGAGGCAATGGATAGAGGATCTCTCAGTGCATATATCTGCCGATGGTCTGCATAATATTGAGGCATTGTACAAAGAAATGTATAATAAATGTATACGGCTGAAAATAAAACACAGTTGGCAACAGACAGCAAAACAATTACACAGATGAAAGTTACCTTTCGTGGACTTTTGCTGTAAGTGTGAGGCTCCTGTTCTGCATGTACTTGGACTTGTTGCAATCACAAGGCTGGAGGAATAATATCAAAAAGGCTATTTTTTAAAGTATTAAAATAAAAATTTCACATCTCCGCAAAGTCAAGATTCAACTTCAAGACTCTGACATCTCATCCTTTGAAAAAAGCTAGATTATTCTGGCTCTTATCGCGACTAAGTGACACTGTGCTGTGGGAGTAAGCACCCACCTCCATATGGAGAATGGACAACAACAGCGGCACAGTTGGCTGTCTGTGACACGGTTACTTACAGTTTATTCAGTAGGCTTTGTGAATACATGTTTACCATGTGGCTGTTGTCAGCTTAAAGAACTTTTTGGTTACCTAGTAAATGTAACACAAAGATGAACGTCACATTCAATAATTAGGGAGGAAATCGATGTGATGGACTTCCTTTCTTTACTTTCTTTTGATAATTATGTAAGTGTGAAGCTTTGATTAAACCTAAATCTTTTTCCAATTAATACCCAGTTGCTCAAAAAGTATACAAACCTTATTGTGTGTAGTTTCATTTACAGGTAGGAACGATTATTGTTTTCATTTTTCACCAAACTATCAAATCAGAAACGTGTGACAAGAGGCTCGTGCTTCTTCCATCATTACTGAAATCTCCCCTCAGCTGAGTTTCTGCTAACTCTTGGATGTAGACAGTAGAAAGAATAATTATTCCTACATTAAACAGCTCACAACTGCAATTGTAGCAAGGTTGTCTTTTTTGGATAGAGACATTGCTATTTAGCTTTTCAAATGCATTATTTTGGCACTTTAAACACTAAAAGTCCATTAAGAGTGCATTTTCAATTCAAGATGAGTCACACATTACTTTTTGTTCTGCTTTGACGATAGTTTGGTTTTATTCTAGTGTCCCAGGGTGCAGCATTACCTTACTGCACCCAAATGCTACATAGAGGGATGAGATAAAATTAATCTTTCAGCTCAAGGCAATTCTCCGCCTGCACATTTTTAATTTACTTTGACCTACTCATGGTTTATATAGAGGACAAAGATATGGGCAACTGGCCAGACAAAGGATATTCCAAAGTACTTTATTATTACAATATGTAGCATTTACCTCTTTCTTTAGCCCGCCTTAACTAAAAGGCAGGAAGCAGAGGGAAACAGCTGGCCTAAGTCTTTCCATAGTTCCAGTTTTTTTTTAAATGTTTTTGTTTTTTGTTAAGTTAAACTAATCCCCTCCTGGGAGCCCCATATTTCACTTGTTTTTTCTTCCTGTGTCTTCTCTCTTTGCAGATTGAAGAGCGGCGAGCCTTGGCGGGAGGCTCGAACGACACAAGTTGTGTGTTTCTAGTTAACCGGCCGTACGCCCTGATCTGCTCTGCAGTGGCCTTCTACGTGCCGCTGGGCCTCATGGTCCTAGCCTACCAGCGTATCTATGTTACTGCCATGACCCACGTGCGGCAGATAGAGACACTTCAACGTGCCGGCTCTGCTCCAGTCACCGGCACAATTCCAGTCATTACCGTGAGGACATCCACTTCCTCAGATCCTTTGGAGCATTACCGCCTTAGGACACCAACAGGTTCCTCCTCCTCAGAGCAGGCTCCTGTAGGTCACAGCCGCATGCGCATTGAGACCAAGGCAGCAAAGACGTTGGCGGTTATAATGGGTTGTTTCTGCCTGTGCTGGGCTCCATTCTTTATCACCAACATAGTGGACCCTTTCATCCACTACTCGGTACCCTGGCAGCTGTGGACAGCCTGGTTGTGGCTTGGGTACATTAACTCAGGGCTAAACCCTTTCCTGTACGCCTTCCTAAACCGGGCTTTTCGGAGGGCGTTTCTGGTCATTCTCTGCTGCGGGGATGAGCGGTACGCACGGCAGGGGAGCTGCTCCTATGGACCAACCCACAGAGCATGCTCAGCTGCATCAGTCAATGGGACATCCATGGCACTGAGGTAAACACACAGGCAGGCACAAGTCACATTTGTACCAGTCTATCTATAACCAGTGGCCTAAGACATATTTGATCATGTAAGACTGATGGCAGACGTCCTTTAATGTTAATGTGAAGGGCAGTAATTTCAGTGAGTGAAGGGGTGTAAGTGGATCTGAGTGAGAGAGTGTATGTTTTTTTTGCTCAGCGATCAAGGCTTTGATTGTTCACAATAAACAAGAACCTGTTTCAGGTTAACATTAAGGTCACATTTGTCATTTTTCAGGGCAATAACTTGTGGATTGTAATAAATACCTAAGCCGGATGCGCTACTACGTCACTGATGTTCTGTTTTTGTCCTCACTGATTCAAAAAGAAATGAAGGCCTTGGGCAAGAATGAACTTTAATTTGTCATTTCCCGCGAAAAGACCTACACCTAAACCTTTCTGTGTCATCTGACTGAAAGATTGTTTGTTTTCCTTAGTCTTTGCCTGAAAAAAACTGAGAAGAGGACGACACACTGGACTTTTATTAGTTCATTACTCCGTCTATTTGACACACCAAAAAGATCATTTTTAATGTTTTTAATTAACTAGCAGCTGTTAAGAAGAAGAAGAAGAAGACCAGCAGATTAAAGATGTTCATCATCTTGAAAAGTGGAAAACTGGAATTGTCCCTTTGTTGACCTCCTCGGAGTGATCAGTTGCAATTAAGAAACACAGTTATGGTCCTACATGACACAGAAGAGACACTCACATCAGTCCCTGATGAATGTCAGGGACATTTTGAACATTTTGGACGATTACCTCAGTGCCCTTCACAAGAGAAATTTATTGCCACTAAGTCTCATTTGGAGTGTTATACTCGTGCACCTGGACGAAGATAATCCTGTGGCCTATTGTGAGCTGCCAAACTTTATTTTGTTGCATTATGTTGAGCCACATAACTCCTGCAGTTTTATGAAGGTAAAACAGGACTGCATCGCAAATCTGTAGAAGAGGGGGAACATAGTGAGTGTAGTTTGACATTGCTTCATGGAGCTGTGGAGGGAGTGCCAGCCAAGGACTTTAATCTGAGCAGTAAGAAGAAAAGTGGAGAAATCGCACTAATTGTGATAGAAAAGGGTTGTAGCTGCAGACATGTAACTGTGGGGAAGATTTTCATGGTCCGAATATTGCTAGCTGGCAAGGTATTACTCACTGAGGGAAATGGACATTTCTGTTGCTGTTTGAATCCAGTTTTATTCATCACACTGTTTGGATTCCTGCATCAGCTGACACAGAGATCATCCAAAGGACTGTGGCTGAATGAGCATGGACAAAAATGGATCTTGGTCAACCTTTGCACCACTTGCTGGACAAGCAGCTGAAGACTTTCTCTAACATCTGTTTCAGCTTTACCACCACAAGGATAAAACACAATTCCACATACCACAATCCATGTATCCACTGTGGATTTAAGCTCCTGAGTAAATCACATTTACATTTTGATTTATTGAGTGATTGTTTTGCACTGTGATATTTATTTAATCACAGTTCTTTTTCACATTTTGAGTACTGTAGCATTTCCCAACTTTGGGGATAAATAAGGTATTTCTTATTGGATCATATATCATTTTATCACATACTGTGTGCAGCTAGTTGCTATCCTAGGCTCACATTTGTGATAAAATGAATTTAATAATCATCCCTTCTTTTAATCCCTTGTTTTCTGATCATGAGATGTGTCAGATGCTTTTCATGGAACTGTTGGGAAATTTTGAAAGAGAACATTCAGACTTTGACCCACACTTGCACTTGTGCTGTGTTTTTCTGCAGAAACTTCTTTAACGTTTAATCATGCTGTTTAATGCAGCACGTGCACAGCAGCAGCTGGGGAGAATGATGAGGAGATAAACTTGTATGGACAGCAATAACAGAATGTAGCAACAGCAATATGAAGATCAGCCATTGTGTTTTTTCTCTTGGTAGTCACTGAAATAGAATTTACCACTAAAAGTTTTTTATTTGTAGTCTTTATTCATCATAAAGTGTAGTAAATAGAAAAAACTAGAGTCAAATCAATATTTACTGTGACTCACCTGCTGGTGTTAGTAAATTACAAGTTGTCCTTAATGTCTCCATCACAATAGGCTAAAAGTAGGATGACAACCACTCATTGATTTTTTTTTTCCTTTTAATGATCACAATTAGTTTCAGTGATCGGTTTTGAGCTCAAAGAAATTGCAGTCTGACTGCAGTCACTCTCAGACAGATTGACGAAGGCTTGCAAATAATTGGCTTCCAATTTATGCAAAGCCTTTTGTCAATCCTTTTGCTGTCCTGCAAAAGGACATCACTATTTTTGGAGGAATTTCTATTTCAAATCTATGATTTGACCTGGCTATGCTCTGAATATATTCTGGCTATACTGTGAATATATTAGTTCATGTAAATTTCTATAGAAGGCCAAATCTTTGCAGGTTGAATTTAATTACCAACTTCAGCTAATTCAGTGGTAAAATGAGAGCAGGTAGACTCCATTTCTGTGACTGTCTTGATGCGCTAAAGTTGCTTTGACTATAGGATTTTGCACTTGGACAGTTCTTAAGATACTTGGCAGGCAGGTTACTTCAAGCATCTTGGAGAATTTCTCTCACTGTCTTCTTCATGTAATCTGAGACGGAGTCAGGCAATAGAGGCTCCCAGGGGACCAAACCATCTTCCTGTTGCTGGAGAATTTGTCTGGGTTTTGTTTAGGCAAACTAGCACCAATCTCACATGGTGAACTTTGTAAGTATTAAATTATAGAAAAGTGGAGCAAAAAGCACCCTTCAAAGAGCAGCTAAAATGCCCAAATCTGGCTAAATCTTGGTTCTTAGTGGTTAAATAGCACGGACAGTGGACAGTTTCATATTTGTCTTTTTTACAGATTGGATCTTCAATGTAATTATAATATATAATAACACTAAAAGTCCAGAAGGCTTTTCACACCAGGACATCTGTTGATGTTATGGTGCTGATTTAGTTGACGGCTGTGTTTGTGCTCTCAGCTTCCGCGAGCTGGGAGAAAGATGGAGGAGACCTGCTTGTGTCTGCACTGTTTAACTCTAATACAAGTACTTCACTGCTGAAGAGAAACAGTGAGAGTGCGTGTGCACTCATGCACACGTGTGACAAATGAATTCATACAAAATACATGCAAGCACAGGCAGTCACACCTTCTGAACGTGTCGAGAAACCTTCTGCGTGTGCATCATCTGTGCGTGTCTGTTATATGAAATAAGAAAAATGAAACACGCTTTCCTGATATCTCAGCTTATGGCATACTAGTTTTAGCTGTCACGTGTTTCCATGGATTTCTGCACGTCGGTGTGTAGGAAACAGAAAGGCAAACAGTGTTAACTCCAATCTGATGTCCTGTCTTAAATCTGTCTCCGATGGAAAACAGACTCGGACAATCAGATTAAGGCCGGCAGGATACTAGAAGCTGAAATTACTGGAGAAATCCTGTCGAATCTCATTTTTATTTCAGTGAGATGACGGCCTTTAAGGAAACTGTTTTTCAAAGTTACATTTAAGTGTCCTCTGCCTTTTTAAAATGTCTTTGTCCATGTGTGATGGCACATATGGAAAATGTTGGCAGAGTAGTAGGATATGAATCCAATGGATAGCAGAATTGCTTTACAACAGATTCTAACATTGGTATTTCTTTGCTTTGGCCTGCTTTTAATGACATGCTTTATATTTTAAACACTTTAAACTGTTTGTTGTTGTGAATTGGTGCTATAAAAATCAAACTGACTTGAATTGAATTGGTGTTATTTAGAATACAGTCCATTCTTTTCTTACTTTGCCTAATTACTTTCTCCACCAGTCATTTCTTTAAATGTGCCACCGTCTTTTGTTTTTCTAAAATTGAAAACGAAAAAACAAAAACAAAAACATCCTAACAATTAATATTTCGTGCATATTTTTTGGTCATTTGGATTTTCCCTTACCCAGTATTTTTGTCCATCAGTAATGTTTTAAATACTTCTGTAGAAAGAATAAAGTTACGTTAAAACCAAGCACACCATTGTCTTTCTTGTGACATTACGAATAAGTTTGATGTGTCACATGGCCCTCTTCCTATTAAAAAAACAAAAGTTGTATCCAAGATGGCCGACTTCTAATTGGCCACCATGGTCACCACCCATCTTGAGGAGTTTGCCCCCTCACATATACTAATGTGCCACAAACAGGACTTTAATATCACCAACCATTCCCATTTTATTACGGTGTATGCATATAAATGACCCACCCTGTGGAGACAAAAGCATCTGGAGATTTGAAACAGGTTAAAAATGTTGAGTTGCTCCTTGTCTTGTGTCCTTGCGCCAGTATGGTGTTTACAGCATTTTATAAAGTATGTCTTTCTATAGACACACAATATGGACACGAGTATTGGGCCACAGTCCCATTACCACGGCTCCTTGCCATGCAGTTGGGAATGAATGGGTTGTTCGACAAACTGTGCACTAGGAGACTCGTGGCATGGGTTTCCTTGGATGAGCTGTTCCTGCTTTTATTTCCACAATTTTGCTTATATAGTATAATTTAAGTGTTGTTTTATCTTATATTCATTCGGCCGGCACATCAGTTGTCACAGCCAGATGACAGTTAACTTGAGCTAGCATAGCACGAGTGGATGCAGCTAAGCAGTCTGTTTTCAAGGACAGATTAACTGTCAGGACAGAAATTATTATTATTAATAATAAGTAATAGTTTTACTAGAAGTACGTATTTGAAATATATATATATATATTGCATAGATATATTTGATTATTCAGTGTTTGTAGTTAAAGTGTTATGGTAAGCAATTTTTTTTAGCATATCACATACTAGCTTCTTCTTCTTATTATTATTCTTTCAACTTCAGGGGCCACCACAATGGGTCATGTGCCTCCATTTCACTGCATCCCTAGCATCCTGTCACACCAACCCCCTGCATGTCCTCTCTTCCTCTCCATATTCAACATCTCTTTGTCCAATATATCCCTC